AATACAATATTTCTGTCAATGTGTGTGGGGCTTGATTGTCAGCAACTGTTAGCGTATTTTTTTTTCCACGGTGCACTTTATACGAGAATCGTTATGCTTCTTCTACATACAAACATATGCCCGGCGTTTAACGGTTTATTCTGCTAAAATTGAATCTACATAGCTAGTATGTGCTAGCAAAAATCGATAACAAAAATCAAAACATTTCTGTTGAAGCTTTTAAAAGCAATCGTGTGGTCGCAAGATTCACTTACAGGGCCTTTGAAGGCCATACCTTTGCCAAGCCATCGATTGATGCTGACGTTCATTAAAATACACTGAAAGTATGCACAACATTTTCTTTAGATATGTACATTAGGGTGGGTGGAAACCCCCAACTTTTTCCAATTTGATTTTGGCCCGGGGGGGGGGGGGGGACGGATTGTTGAGGGAATGTTATGGGAATGTTGTATCTATGGTCAGTATTACCTGTACAAAAAATGAGAAATCCTCTTAAGCTTAAGCAATTAATCAAACAAACTTTTTGAACACCGTTTCTTCGCCAAAGTGATGTAAAGCCAATAAAGGGATTATAAAAGTGCAGTATAAGTACGGTGACCATTCGTCCTTTATTTTAAAGGACAGTGCTTTATTTTAACCCCCTGTCCTATATATATTTTTTTCAAAATAAAGGACGCCTAAAGGACACGTTACCCCTAATAGAGGCAGTAAAATAAAGATTATTGGCGTTGATGGCAAATCTGTAAAAACAGGGAATATTGGTCGCGTTATTATACTGATTGAAAAACACTTAGGCTTTAGTCTTCAGTGGTAAATTTGCATCTTGCATTTTAATGAACTTCCTCTTAGGCATCTCATTACCTATCTTAATGGTAGTACAAGGGAAGTCGTGAAATTTAAAAAATAGGTATTTACATACCTGATATCGACCCAGAACGTCTCAGTACTGATCAAAAATATCTCTTGGAAAAGTGCCATGCTATTTGTAGCGGTCATATTCCAGATAACCTTGCGAATCGGGATCCAGAAGCCCTTTGCCATGCTCGGTGGCTAACTACTACGAATAGGATTCTTCTTTTATATGTGTCCGAACACAAGCCCTCCAGCATATTGCAAATCTTGGTTATATACTCTGCAGTTGACGCAAAGATATGGTTCATAATCAAACAGAATTGGCAGTTTTATCATAGCAGTTATTACGTGTGGTGAACCATCTGTGAGTCCAGATTCTTACCAGAAGCATTGCGAGAAGCCGTAGTGGAACCCTGCGTTCAAACGAATGGTTTTGCTCTGCATCCAGAAAACTTACGAATGGCAATGTTCGTAGATCCAAGGAACAAATTAAGGGGACGAGCTGTCGATATAATCAAAAGAGCTCGACAAAATCAGAAAAAAAGAAAATTTTGCGTCCCAATAATTAATTTCATGGCAAAAGATTATCCGGAACTTATTCACTGGACCCCTACGCTGGCTGAGTTTTCAGAGCAAGATATTGAAGAGGCCATTGATTTCTTGGATAAGTTCAAGGAAAAACTCCTTGCTTCTCCCTGCTACACACTGGCAGTAGAACGCACAGTGCAACTTGTCACGTGGCTTTAAAAAAAATGTGTGATGGGAAGAAAGAGATGGTTTCATAAGGAATACCCTATCTTCTCGGCTGAAAATAAAAACAATTTAAAACAAGTAAGAAAGTCTAAGTTCGGGCGGAGCCGAACATTAAATACCCGGCGCAAGTATTAAATATATGTTTTTTCACCCTTCCGAAACCTTCCGCTAGATGGTAAGCCGAGGTGTATCAATTTTGAGTAAATTAGCGTCCTTCAATTTCGAAATACTGAAGTTTCAAGCATTTCTTAAATTTACCGTTATATGAGAATCGGCCGTTATTTTAGTCCGATTTCAATAATTTTCAACGTTTTGCTTACACGTGGCAAGTACAATAACCATACCGAGTTTGGTACAAATTGGTAGAACGGTTACTGATATACTTATATGTGATCATAAGTGGGCGGTGCCACGCCCATTTTCCAAAATTTTACCATAAACGTATTTCTTGGTAAAGAATTGTTGCAAGCATCAATTTTGAATAAATTAGCTTCAATCGAAGATTTTGTATTTCTCTAAATTACCGTTATATGGGATGTGGGCGTGGTTATTGTCCGATTTTAAAAAGTTTCGGCGGTTTTTTATGCTGTACCAAGGCCAACAACTGTGCCAAGTTTGGAAGAAATTGGTGCAGCGGTTACCAAGATATACACATGTAACCATAAGTGGGCGTGGCTACGCCCATTTTCCAGAAATTTATAATATTCTTATTTTTCGTCTAAAACTTATTATAAATATCAATTTTGAGTGAATAATCTCCAGTAGTTACTAAAATATCGCAGTTTTCGTATTTCTGAAAATTACCGTTATATGGGAAGTAGGCGTGGTTATTGAGCGATTTTAAAAATTTTCGGCCATTTGGTATGTTATGCGAAGGCCAACAACTGTGCCAAGTTTGGAAGAAATTGGTGCAGCGGTTACCAAGATATACACATGTAACCATAAGTGGGCGTGGCTGCGCCCATTTTCCAAAAATTTATAATATTCTTATTTTTCGTCTAAAAATTATTGTAAATATCAATTTTGAGTGAATTATCTTCAATAGTTACTAAAATATCGCAGTTTTCGTATTTCTGGAAATTACCGTTATATGGGAAGTGGGCGTGGTTAAAGTCCGATTTCGTCCATTTTCAATAGCAACCTACCTTGGATTAAGGGAAACCTACGTACCAAATTTCGTTGAGATATCTCAATTTTTGCTCGAGTTATCGTGTACACGGACAGACGGACAGACGGACAGACGGACAGACGGACGGACGGACGGACAGACAGACATGGCTTAATCGATTTCTTTTTTCATCCTGATCATTTATGTATACATTTGTCTATATCTATCTCGATTCGTTTTGGCTGTTACAAACAACCGTTATGTGAACAAAATTAATATACCCTTGTGCACAAGTGCGCTCGGGTATAACAAAGAAAGATTATGCTTGCCTTTCTTAAGTGGCTAGGCTCCCTTACGGTTAGTTGGTTGGGTTGGGAGTGCCTGGAATTCCACCTTCCCGTTTCTGAAGTAATTTTTGTGAAAGAAGGGCGAAGAGTTACATGCAAATTAAAAAAAAAAAAACTAGTAAATCCGGGCGGACGTTGTCGGTAACTCGGTGATCGGTAATTTTTTCCCATGTATTTTGTTTGTGTAACACTATTTTGCACAAACAAAATACATTAGAAAAAATTTCCGGACACCGAGTTACCGAATACCGAGCTCGGTGTGAAGATCCATATTGTTTCTTACGTTTCATTTGATATCGAAATTTACAAAATATTGTTATTAGTGTTCAATACGTTTGAAAAAAAAAACGATCTCTGGTTACGGTTCAAACATCAGCCAGGGGCATGGATAACATTGGATGGTATCCAAATGGCAAATTTTTTGTTCCTGTTGATGTGCGCATGCTTATGTATATGTTTAAATACATAGTACATTATTTTGCTGCTATCCTTCCTATTTCTCCCCAACATAAACATACATATGAAACGTAGCCGCGAATAGCATTGGAAAACCCCCGCTTCGCATATGGGCAGTTTGTAATTAGCGTTAACGAAAACAGCGACACGGGAATTTTAAGAACGTTGCAAAGAGCACAAAAAATGTCGATGAAAAAAAATATTTTTTCTCCAGTTCAAAACTATCCTATCTTTTAACAATACACACCCACAAAATTTCATTGAAATCGGTTAAGGGGTTTCGGAGATTAGCGTAAACGAACACAGTGACACGAGATTTTTGTATATCAAGATAACCACGTTGCGAGGAGCATAAAAAAATATCTTTTCTCTGGTTCAAAACTATCCTATGTTTTAAGTTGGAACCAACAATACACACCCACAAAATTTCTTTGCAATCGGTTAAGCGGTTTCGGAGATTAGCGTAAACGAA